AGAAGAGAGATTGAAATTTTTTCAATCTGGTCCAGTTGATGAACTATGGAAGGTAAATCATGAAATATTACATATAATAACAATAGAGTATTCTGAATTATTAAAATTCTTCTAGATTATGCTTAAATTAATTGATAGGAATAAACGATTTATTCACAATCGTTCAAGAGATTTTGAACAAAAGTGTATTCTCTCATCCTGTTTTACCATTTTCAATTATTTAAGTATACTACCAGGTTATTATGACTTTAGAAAAACAATAATACGAATTGTATATACTCTCTTAATTAATGAAGATTTGAGAATTAATAACGGAATTTGTGAATTACTACTAATTCATTATCATTTCTTGAATCAGGTATATTTCTACTTTTCCTTTTTTTTATCAATTGAACAGCTGTTCATTAAGTTTACTTTTTAGATAACAAGCAAAACCAAACTGGCTATAAGAATTCTAAGAAAGAATCATTATAATCCTTGGACAAAGAATATATTTCTTCTTCTGGAAAAACTACTAAGGGATATTAATTTTCAAAATGTAAAACAATTCATATCGTATCGTCAGCTTTAACACTTCATTTTCATTTTGCAGTTTCCCGACCTAGATATTTATGAATTTGTCAATTCTACTCGAACACTACTAGAAGGACTTAAATTTTCCCAGAAAGTCTACGTTCGAAGGAACTTGATACAGTATGTTCAGATGATAAGGAATCAATGTATCTCTAGTCTGTTAATTGTTCAAAGGAATTTTAAAATGAGGACAAAAAACTGCTTCACATTACAAATCAATGGAATTATCTTGGATTTAGTTCAGCTTTTTACTTGAATTCTTATTGATTTATTTTTAATATTTGATATTCAAAACAATAAAATATTAGTTAATTAATTTATTATTGATAATCGAAAACAAAAAGTTATATATGGCCCGCATGGGGGTCGAACCCACGACCTCCGCGTTATCAGCACGGCGCTCTAACCAACTGAGCTAACGGGCCAAGACAAACATGTTTAGCGTAAGTATTTCCAAAATCTCTCTCTCTCTCTCTCTCTCTTGTTTTACAAACAAAAATCTCTAGGATAGAAGGTTAAAAAAAAAACCAAAAAAAAAAAATGTAGGTTCCACCGAGATTTGAACTCGGATCGTTGGATTCAAAGTCCAAAGTGCTAACCGTTACACCATGGAACCTTTTTTGTAAATTCTAACCAAACTATGGATGTTTACTTTGTCTCTGGTTTAAAGAAATAGTGGGCTAATCGTTTATAATTAATAGTGTATTGTATTAGTAATATAGGTAAAAACTACTGTTTTACGAAAAATTTCTATCTCTATCCAGACAACAGTAAACAAAGTCTGACTAATTACTTTCAAATATGTATCTTTCTTTCAAAAGCCATTCAAACTAAAATGAATTTCAATCCTTTTCCCTTTACATTAGTTTATAATTACTTATATCAATTCAATTAACTAAAGTATTGTCCAATATTTATAGAGGTGAAAGCTATAGTTCCAGTTTTTTTATCCATTTTATTGATTGTTCTGCCATTGGGATTCAATATTTCATTTTTCTAACAGAGAATACTATGAAAGTTGTATGAACAAGTTAAAATACTGTATATAAGAATAAGATATAGTATACTGTATATGTCATTTTGTTCTTCTTTCTTTTTTTATTTTGCTATCGCCTTAATAAATAGGAAATCAATCCTGAAGGAAAGAATAATATAGCTAAATATTAATATCTGAGGTTCCATGGTGTAACGGTTAGCACTTTGGACTTTGAATCCAACGATCCGAGTTCAAATCTCGGTGGAACCTACAATTTTTTTTCAAATCCAGTTCTCCTTATATTTTAGCTTTTAAGAAAATATTTAATGCACAAATACAGTTATACTACAATTGTTTTTATAGAGAAAAAAGCGCCTTATTATAATATCAAACGAGATGTTTGACATTCGTGTAATAGTTACTGTGTAATCGATGATAACATTAGATAAGAAAATGTAAGAGAATGTTTAATGTGCCGTGGGTGGTTTAGGCTAATATTGTTTAAAAAAAGTACCTCCACTAGGTCTAGGGCGAATGATTATGGCTTAATAGAAAGAGATCAGTGGGAAAACTTGAAAAAGAAACGACTATAGTTGTTTGTATTTTATCAATTCAATTTTATCCGAACTCTCTCTCTCTCTCTCTCTCCGTTTTCTAATTAATGATTATTTAACATGATGTTGAATCACAAAGCTCGTAAAAATTTGGTAATTTTGGCCTAAATGCAGTTATCTTTAACGAGGCTAACAATTTACATTTTAAATCATTCAATATTGGTTCTTTACTATCTTCCAAACAATCCAAATAATTCGATAGACCGGAAACGCATAATTCTTCAACCCTTTTCAAGTGTTTAATTTCATTCTCATTTGAAAAATTAATATAATAATCAGCAAATATATTGCAAAAGTATTTAAAACTTTTCAACAGATTATCAACTTCGTTTTCATTCAACTGTAAGAAAAAAAGTAGAAAATTTCAACAAATCAATGGAAAAAAGATGATAAAAATGAGATAATATTTTCATACATTTTGAAAATCAATATCTTGAAATATTTTCACCAATAGTATTAAAACATTACCGGAACGACAATTGGATTTGATCATCCTTAATAAGGTTGTACCAAGCTTGATCTTTTTCGTAATCTAATGTGAATAGATAGAAAGATAGGAGTTAGGAGATTTTAATTGCATGAATAAATTATTGTTTTTAAGTTATTACCAGACTTAATAGATGGAATTTTTTAATGATAATTTCAGAGAATAAATCAACAAGTAATGAATTATGTAATTGAATGTCTTTCATTAAATTATATTCTAATATGCCGCATATTATCTCTAGTATTTTTAACCAATATTCTTGATTATTCGGTAATCCAGTAATCCAATTTATGATCATAAACGAATATATAAATATCATTTGGCTGTTAAATGGTTTAAAGAAATGTATAGTATTCACTTTTCTTGAATAGTCAATATTTTCAAAGAGAATCTATAAACATATTATTTCAAATTGTATTAAAATAAGACAGTAAATTTTCATCTTACCTCCCAGAAATTGTCTGTAACTATTGAATTTAATATATTTAACCTTTGACCCTCATTCACTTTAATTAATTCCGCATATGTTTGTTGAATATATAATGCTTTTTCTCTAACTTCACCGTAATTAATTGAATTGTCAACGCATTCGTTCATATCGATAAATTCAATATTTTTCTTTATCTGTTCAATATTACAAATGGTAACCCAGTATATCTCGTATTACTAAAGTTATATACTTGATCATTTTTTGGGTAGATTATTGGAGAGATGCTTGAAAAGTTCTTACCAGAAAATAGATAAATACCAAAATATTTCATATTTGAATGACTTTGAAGAAAATATCTGAAATATTAAGAAATATTTAAAAACGAAAGAGAAACCTATTAAAGAATCGAACCTAACATCTTCTTCTTCGAGTTCACATCTTCCAGTAACGAAAAAATGCTGTAGATATTGCCAAGAAGCTTTTCTAAGGAGATTTTTTAGCCAATCTAAAGGTGTTTTACGAAATCTTGAAGTATTGTACGATATGCTTAAATATCGAAGAAATGGTAATTTTAATAAATATTTCAATTCTTCAAAATCGTGCAAACAACAAGCATTTTCGTGATAATTCAATCTAATTAATTTTCTTAATTTAGTTATCGCTTGTAGACTTTTTACGTTTGTATAAGAAATATTCAGATCTTCTAAACATGGACAACAATCGCTTATCAATTCTAAGCAACCATCATCAAAATCCGTCCAACTAAAATCCAACTTTATTAATTTATTTAGACAGGATTTTGGAATGAAAGAATTTACTGTTGTAGCTTTATCTTCATTGGTATTTACTTTGCACAGTAGGCAATTGCTTATAGATAATTCAGTCAAATTATTAAAATTGACGTATTGTATCCATTCAGAAGTACCAAATTTACGAATACCGTTAATTGATAAATATCTTGGATAATGATATTCAAGAAAAGAAAATGACGATATATCGGTAATTCTTCGTCCATTAAATTTTAAACGATGTAATGGAGTTTTATCTGAAGCGAAAAAAGTCAAATTTTCTTCTAAAATTCCATAATTTCTTTTATCCAAATATCTAAAAAGCTTTTCTGAAATGTAGAATGGAATTTGTGTTTCTTTTAATAGAATTAGATGGATATTTCGTTCAAAAAAACGGAGTACTATTTCTTGTAAAGTCCACACCATTATCTATAAATTCCGTAATATAATGTTGTACATTCGAATGAATCATTTACCTATTGATTTTTTTTAACAATTATTATTGTTTACTTCCCTTATCATCTCTGTTACGTAATACCAGTTCAAGAAAAACAAACTTTCATTATAAAACTTGTATTTTGAGTAAACAACTAGGTAATCTAATAAAACTAGAAAAGCCAATATTCAGTCTGCATAGATCGTTCAATTTCTGATATTTTAACGCTCTTTTATCTCTTATTTATGAAAATTGAAAGATAACGACGAAAGTAGCGAAGGAGACAAATATACTAATAAATATTTTTCTCACTTAATATTCTTTATATAGGCGTTGTTAGCCTATAAGATATTTCTACATCAAATGTCCTATTTAATGCCTTATTATTTGTTTTTCATACTATTCACAGTTATTTAAGGTTAGCTATACAGTATAGAGGAGAATATTTCTTAGTTTTTATTAAATGATAAGACGCAGAACAAAGATACTATAATTGAACAAATTAGACAAAAGGAAGATGTAAAATTTTCACTGTTTCTTATCAATGTTGCTTCTGAAGAACAGCAAGAAAAGAAAACACCATTTGCCACATAATAGAAATATACTTATAACGTAAAATTAATTGAATATTCAATGAAATTTAACAATCATTTAATCAATAAATGTTAGTTTAGAAGTATTATATTCTATTGGTATTTATGGAGATTTTGATAATCTAATGTTTATACGTATTTTTGATGGAATTTGTATTTGAAATGAAGGATTTCCTCTCCAGTGTAAAATATCCTTTTCTATTTCAAGTTGTTTATGATTTTGAATAATGCCAACGATTCTTGAAACAAACTTATTCATAAAAGGAATATTTCTCATCTCTCTAAATGGGAAACTATGTAGGAAAAACTCAAAGGTTTTTAGGAAAATGACAAATTTCTTCTCGGGTAACTGTTCATAAGAAGATAAATTAATTATAATAGATTCTTTACCCGTTTTATAGCTAAACTAACCGTCATTAATAGTTCTTCAGTTAAAATAGCGTTCAGAGTTGCTACGGATAATTCCCTATCTTCCGAATAGTGGGAGACTTTTAAAGCGTTTATTGAAAGTTCAAATCTATCTGTAGGCTTTGGGAAAAGAAAGAATTACTAAATAGAACAATAATGTTAATGATAATGCTTACAATATCCAAAAATGGCGAATGTTTAGCGAGTAAATGAAAGCAGGAAACGATTATATACGAATTAAATTTAGCAATATCGTTCTCTATGAAATATTTTAATATTTTTGAACAGAGAAGAATAAGTTTCAAGCGTTTAAAACTATCTCTCGACAGGTCTATATAATCAGTTACTCTTAATAAACAATCAACTGGATGGTATTGTTTAAATTCGCCAGTTTTATAGAAAATATATTCGTTCCTGTCACCAAGATCCAATAAGATCTAGATAAAAAAAATTGTATAAAATGAATATGAATAGAAGATGACGTTATATTCCTTTTAACTGAATAATTACAGATAATAACGCTTTAAGAACGCCAAAGTCTTCTGAGTCTTTTTCCCCCAATAATCTCTTGTTTACTCCTTTATAGTAGAATATATTTGGATCTATACACATTCCAGATCGACGATTCATATAGTAATTAATCATTGACCTTACCGACTGTTTAAATTAAGCGAAAGATTCAAGTAACATCAACAAAAACTATCTATATCACTTACATCAATTGAAAAAATATGAGAAGGTTTCTCGCGTACTTCTTCATAGGATCGGATAATATTTTCAAAAATTCCAATAATCTCCACATTCGGATGATTATCTAGAAATTCCCTTTTTAATAAAAATGAATAGAGAATAGAATATAGTTTTTTCAAAGGAGATATGAACTTACTCAAAAGCTTCGTCATCCCTAACTATTCTATTATTAGAAATCTCTATTAATTCCATATTAGGCCAAAAGGATAAGTTAACAAAATCCTTTACGTAGAAAGTACTTTTCTTATTAATTTTACATTGAGTTATATTCAACCTTTGTAAAGATTTTAAATCCTTTAAGATATCGTAAGAAATTTGATAGCTTTCAAAATGGCAGTAGGAACAATTCAACTCTATAAGATTGTTTATATGAATTAAAGAACTAAGATTGTTTACTCTTGTTTTTGAAATATTCAATCTTTCTAATTTCTGTAGATTACAACTAATAAAATTCAAACAATCCGTATTGAATGGTGTAATGGAAATATCCAAGGTTGTTAGGTTATTACATTGTTTTAAAATAGTAATGTTTTCTATATTTAAACAATCAGATCTTAAATCTATAGAAAAGTCTAAAGAGCCTTTGCTAATAGATAATTTCTCTAGATTTTCAGGATTAATTAAAGCTAACCATTGTCTCAGTTCGCTAACTTGTAATTTCTGTATATCAATTTCTTTTGGAGCGTGACCTTTAAGAAAATCCATTGAACAAGCATTCGTTAATTGAGATGCGTCAAATTGAATCTTTTGAAAATTGCATGTTCTGGATGAAAAATATTGAAGATATTCTTCTGGGAAGCCAGTAAATTGTAAGGATAGATATCGAAATAACTTTTCAACAATAGCCGATGGTATTCTTATATTTCTTTCATGGAATTGATGATTAAAGACCTTGTAAGGCTTCTTTGACAAAGCAATCAAACTCAAATCTTGAAGACTAAGAATTGTAAAATATTCTTCTATCGATTCTGACATGACGATGTGGAAAACAAGCAAATTTTAGCTGTTTGTGTATTCCTCTATTACAAATGGCCGATAGAGAAGAGATAAGAACTCAGCCCGTTGCATACATTTTAACATAAACTACATAAAAAACGAGACTAATACATGAAATATTAGAACTTAGTTCCAAGTTATCCTATATAAGAGCTAGAAATATAGGCCAAATTTCTATATATTAGTCTTTCTTTAATAGTATTCTATTAGTTTTATCATTAGTTTAGATCGTAGCCAATGTTTAAAATAGGCCTTGATCAAAAATTATTATTATACAATATATTAATTTTAAAGTTTGTTGCTTAAGCTCTAAGTATCTATATACAATTTATCAACTTGAAAGTATAAATTCCATTGTATATTATATAATAATATAGGCCTATAACATTATGTTTAACAGCCAAGAAGAAATTCTATATATAATTATAGATAGTATTCTGGAGTTGTGAATAATTTGATATAATATTCTTCCTAAATACGTATTAAAGTATCTTTGATACGAACAAATATTTCAATACTACTACAAGAAGAAAATAAATAGGATATGACAATAACCTCTATCTATACCGTATATATATATATATATATATATATATATATATATATATATATAGATATATTTATATATATATAAAGTGAAAAAGTTCAGTTAGAATCATTTTAGATAACATTTCGAAAGTTTCTCCTCTCTTTAGTATATTGATGATTGACGATGACGATGATAAAATTGCAGGATATTGTTCTTAATTATATTGGAAATAATAGTAATTTAATTATCAATAATTCTATAAAAAGAAATATACGTTTACCGTTCTATTTATCAAGTTTGATATTCTCTTATATGAATGAAAGAAATTGGGGTATTTTAGAAGAAAATTTGGACTTTTTTACTTCGGCAACGACAAATCTAACTTCAATTAAATTTAGTACTTTAAATATCGAAAATACTAAGAAATTATCATTTCTTAAAAAGCACCAATTGGATGACGCATATATTGAAAATTATCAAAGTTTACCATTAAGGAAATGGTTATATTTCATTGATGTTAACTATCTAAAAAGGTTAACTATATCGAAGACTAGATCAAATGATTCTAATAATTCGAATTGCTTCAATCCATTGCCAGATTATAAATTGATTGTTCGTTTTAAAAATTTACTACAATTGGACGTTTCCTGTTCAAATTTCAACGACGATTGCCTCAAATATATTTGTAAATCATTAAGATCAATTAACGATTTGAATATCTCCAAAACAAATGTTCAACAATACAAACCATTGAAATATTTACGGAATTTAAAGAAATTTCAAGCTAAAGATATGAATTTTCCATTAAATACAGACATATTTTTCTATTTAAGACAACAAAAGAATATAGAAGAGATACAACTTCACGGTAATACTTATACAGAAACTTCAATACAAAAATACTGGCTAAGTTCATTAAGAAAATTGAATTGTTGGTTAAATTTAAAAGTATTTTCAATTGATACTTGTCTAATTGAAGATCAATCGGAAATTATGTAAATATCAATCTTTTCATTTATAAATAAATCAAAAATATGATTTCTTTAATATTTTATAGCAAATTTTTACAAACTTACAAGAAACTTTTGGTGTTTAAAATAAAATCATTTGATTTTGAGGATCGTCTATTAAAGCGAGATATTAATGAAATATCGTCAATAATTCTTCCAAGGATATTTCCGGTATTATTATTAATGAGATTAACTTAACAATTTTACCAATTTTCCTAATTTTTCAGTGGAATTATAAAAGAATTAATATTGATTTATTCAATAATGAAATACATATATTATCGAAATTGAATATATCTGGAAATGGAACTGGAAAAATGATAGTATTTCTAATCAAATATATAGAATCAAACAACTTGAACGATATTATTCAATTTTTTCAATCGATTCGACTTGAACAACTTACAGACGTAATAAATAAATAATAAATTTATTACTTTAATCAAAATTTTCACTCTTTTCATGTTTTTTTTTATAGATACTTGTCAATTATATTGAGAGAAAATCCAGGCATCATTACAGTTTACAGAGTTGTCTTGTAGTAGAAGAAAAAGTATTAAAAGCTCTTAAAATCTTTACATATTTATTACATGTTCCTAACTGTAATATCAATTGGATTAAAATACTTCATCTTGGATATAAATGTCTGGAAAATGGGCATATAGAGGAATCGGATTACATGTATTACGTAACTTTGTTGGAAACTATTACCGAATTGATTAGTAATAAATATCAATTTATTAACTTGGTACGTAATAGACGCTTTAAAATGCTATTCATATTATTAATATTTATTATATTTCTACCCTTAAAGATAGCGAATAAAACCAAATTAGCATTAATCTTATTTCATTCAACAAAATCCTGTTTGATAAGAAAGAATACCTCAAATCTTATGTGGAAGCTTTATAGCGATAGAGCATTTATTAACGTATGATAATAATTTTTTATCTACATGCTGAAAATTTTAATGGCTCCTTATCTTCTTTCTAGGCACCATTGGCAGATATTCTCTCAATAGTTTCCTCTTTGAAGTTTAAATGTAATTTAGAAATGGAAGGAATACAGAGAGACATGCAAAATCATCTCTCCTATAGAAATGATATAGAATTGTATTGTTTGATTTTGAAATATAATCAACAGCACGGAAATTGTTATAAAATAACAAAAAAATTCCAATTAATGACTCTATTCGAAAAGTTATCCTATATAAAAAGCCTATTCAACTTTTCTTTCAAATGCAGAGAGAAAGCCCTCTCTCTCTCTCTCTTTGAAAATAAATAATACATTCAATGCACAGATACGCATTTCAAGTTGTTTATTTTTCGAATGTAATAATCGATTTTTTTTTAAAAATACTTCCCGAAAGGATCTGAATCTCTTCGTAATCTTTCTGTATAAGAGTATAATAAAAAGTATTGTTAAGGCAAAAAATTTTATTAGCTTGCTCTCTCTCTCTCTCTACAATATCATAAATGTATCATCCATAAATTCATTGGCCAAAGAGTTAGAATAGATCTTAACGATTGTCTTGAACAATTAAAATTTTGAATAGTTGAATTGCTACAAAACTAATAGATTGTTAATGTTTGAATTGAGAATAGAATTGAAGTCTCTTGAATTTTTTTATAAAATAAGCAAAGATTTTTTCTAATTAGTCTACTGTTTGTTTAATATATCTAAGAAGGTTGAATTTTTAAATAAGTACCAGTTGTCGTTCTGGAACAATAGAATTGTATAACAAATACAGTGTACTGTATATTCAATTATTTTACAACATCGAGTTCCTATCTCTGGCTAATTATAAACAATACAATAGAAAAGCGTTAATACTGTATATTTTCGTTTTCGGTTATCAATTTAATATAAAATTTATAGAAGATAAAGAATTAATCTTGTTAACCTATATAAATAAATCAGTTATACATAAATATAACCAAACCTTCTAGCGTATAGGTAAAACATTCTTCTAAATTCCATGGTATTTTAGAAGGGAATTGCGTTTAGACGATCTTCATCCATGGAACGTTTTTTTTTTTATTGTTCTTTTTTTTAATACTATTGAGTACTTTCTTTATTAATTCATATAAGACTTTTTTTTGAGTATGTATCACATTCTATAAAAAGTACTTAATAGGATATTCATGGTATTCAGGTAAAACGTACATTAAATCATTATGACTCATTGTAAAGAAGTAAGAGATCTTGTGAAAAAGTTAATAAAAGATGGAAAATCTTATAGTGAAGTAGCCACTATTCTTGGATTAGTAAAGTCTACTGTGCAATATATAGCTAAGCCGACTTATCGGAAATCTGGTAATGTCGGACGTCCCAAGGTAATAACAAAAAAGATAAAAATGATTATGAAAAATATAATTATCCAGTTGAAGAATAACAAAGAAAAGATAACGTCGACAAAGGTCGCTAATTTAACTGGAATAAAAGCTTCGCAGAAAACTATACAAAGAACTATAAAGGAAATAGAAGAAGAACTGAAAAGAGAAGCATAAAAAAACGCAACATAAAAACAATCACTCAAGGGAAAAGGGTTAACTTTATGTTTTTTTTTTGCTATGTTCAAAGTTTGTCTGCATTAAAGTCACTAATTTATTCAATATATCTCTCCCCATCCTCCTTCCCTCATTCACTCCTTACTACTCCTCTTATCCCTTTCAACCACTCCCCATGCATTCTTTATGAATATATCTATCGTTATTAAATTTTTTGTCTATTTTACGAAAACAAAGCCAGAAAGAGAAAAAGTACGAATAGTTTTAAATACATTACGACGCTTAATGGAAGAGTCGTCCTTCTGTTACTTTTAGTGTTATCGTCTGCTAGCGTTCGTCGAGAGCGTTTAATCATGTGTTTCACGCTATTGGAAATAGTTTATCGCTATATTGGAGAAAATAGTCAACTTGTATATGAAAAGTACAAAGATAAAAAGTTTAGAATGCCTAATCTAATGGCCGAGAGAATATTACAAATGATAAATTCATGTCAAATTGGCGTGGATATGAGCGGACTAAGACTCTTTCATCTGCTACAATCGTCAATTGACAGTATAAAAATCAATGGAAGGAGAATAGATAATCCCGAAGTCTTATCAGTTTTTAAAAATTTGCCATTAAAAACATTTCATATTCATTGTATGGTTAATGTGGCTTTAACTGATTGGATTGATAATATTAAAGACGCACCAATAACGGATTTATCTATAAATGGCTGCCTTCTTAGTTATGGCGAATGTCAAAGAGAATCAAGAGGGCCTTCTATAGCTATTAAAAGATTATGCCATATTAAAACTATAATCTGTTTAGATGTAAGTTTTACAAAATTCAACAGCGAATGTTTCCAGTACGTTTGTTCTTCTCTTCCAAACCTGGAAGAATTTAATATCGTAGCTACCGACGTTCAAAATATAACCTCGATAGTTAAACTAAGAAATCTTCGAATATTTACTACCTACTTAATAAACACACTATCAGAATCTGGTCAATACAACTTGTTAAGAGAATTACCGAATCTAGAAGGTATTTATATCAAATCGAAAGGTTACGCTGGAGATATAAAACCAAAATCTTGGTTATACGAGTTAATGAATGAAAAAATATGGGTGAATTTAAAGTATTTTTCAATTGAAGGTGTATTTCTAATGTACGAATCTACTGTAAGGTAAATAAATAAATAATCATTTTTAACTCATTCTCTTAATAGTTTTTACATATTCACCACTTTCTTTTTGTCTTAGACGATTCTTAGACAATCATCCTAAGCTGGAGTATGTATTCTTGGGAATATACGCATCACATTACAATATTTCCTATTCATCCTACTATTGTCATCTATCTCCGATAGTTTATCCAAAAGATATCTTTGTAAGTATAAATAATAAGTAGAAAACGTATAGACCGTTCTAAAATGCATTTGCAATTAACTGTCTTCCATCTTTCTTTGTTCTATAAATATAAAGAATAGAGAATCGCAACTTAATTTTAATCGGGAAATACTAAATCTTCAAAATCCTAAGACATGCATTATAGAGAATGAAGAGATGCTTTATTATTTGACTAGTACAATTAGAGATAATGACGATGAAGTTATGATTAATCTTTTGGAAAATATTGATAAGGATAACCTATGGAAGGTAGAAGATGGGACATTTTCCTTCTTCTTCTTTTTCTCTCTATCCATACACTTTTATATTTTTCTTACTATTAGATGCTTATTCAAAGGATTCGTTATGAAAACTATATCAATTCAACAGAATGGAATATACCTTATAAATGTACTACATTCATTAAATCTTTAGAATTTATCAAATTCCTTAAAGTATTCTCCGGAAATGAAAATTATTGGCTAGTGACAATCGAAACAAGTTATAGAGTTATAACAGAAATAGCAAACGATCAGAGAGTAGAGAAACAATATTATATAATGGTTGAAATCTCCTCTCGGCTCCTTCTAATAAGATACAATTTAATTTTTCTGGTAATAAAGATGATTGAATATTGAAATCGCCTCTATATTTAAATCATACTAATAAAGTTCCCTGTTTTATTATTAATCTAACAGATTGTCAACAGAGACATTGTAATTCATAGTTTGATGAAAATAGCTAAACTGGAAAAGCTTAAACTATACGGTTATAGACTCTTATTACAGCTTGTTGGCGGTATTCGTCCAGGAGAAAAGGTATTAAAATTTCCTATTTCATATTTTCTAACAAGTATAGTTATTAATTGGATTTATATATTCAGATTAATAGAGATTTACTTGAGGAATCGTATAGATGCTTACTGGAAACGTTGGAGAAGAATTCGGAAGAAGCTCGATTGAACGAATTAAGGAATAAATTTGAGAGAATCCTCTGATTTGTTTACTTACACTTATTATAATACTTATCCATTTATCTTAGATATGAGCTTGTCTATCATTTATATTATTTCAACGGTTATTTTACTACTTGACGCTAGGTGTCACTAATATTATTTGTTGTTTCTTAGATAAAAGTGACGTTTTAAAAGTTCTTATTTGATGTAAAAACTTTCTTCGATGTTAATCAGTGCGTTACATTGAGAGATTTGTCGTTTTCGTCTTTTACAGACATTTTTTATCGCCAACTTCAACATTAATTAATAAAAAATGTAGTAATTGTCTATAAATAGTACATGTTTATTAACGAAAGGTAATTAGACGGACGATGGCTTAAGATGGTATTATAATTTAATTACCTGGATACCCGAAAGTTAGATGAAGTGGCTTGATGAACTTGAGAAAGAATAGGATTAGATGGTATAAAGTTTACACTAAGAGGATTAGTTTTTATACAATGAAATGAAAACTTTTACCTTTGCTCGATTAATTACATCACAACAGGGAATTGGGAAAAATCGATACATAGATGACTCATTATGAATTGTCGTCTGCTGATTGCCATTTATGCTAAGGAGACTTGTCAGATGAAGTGAATTGTTTGAAAGGGAAAGAGCAATGCTCAGTCTAAAAGAAATAACTCTAAATTATATCGATAAGGAGATGAAAAGCGTCTTTGAAGCTTTTCGTTCAAAGAATAAGCGTCTACCGTATGTTCTGGCTGAACAAATTTTTCATTATCTGGATAGAAAGAATAAAGGCGTTCCTGTTGAATTTCTTATTTACTTTTTTTCCAACAGATCCCAATTTATAAACATTAAATTCGACGCCGACAATATTAAACATGAATACGATTTGGAATTTTTGGCGGGACATCCTTTTGAAACTTTTAAAATGTTCAATTACAGAAAATTGAACATTGAAGTTTTGATGAATATTTTAAAGCATAGACATGAACATCTTAGAGAGCTTACAATTGCTAATAGCAACTTTACTTACTTTTTCGACTCGGGTAGAAGACTACATTCAACAGATGGAATTCGTCTTATAACAGCATTTAAGAACATAAGAAAGTTAAATCTAAGCTATACAGATTTGAATTGTAAAGGTTTTGAGCACTTGTGCAATAATCTTATTCATTTGGAAAAGTTGAATATTTCTGGTACGGAAGTCTTAAAACTGGGTCCAATTGTTAAATTGAGAAATTTACTTTCGTTTAAATACTACGATAAGCTTGGATCTTTTGATTATAGAGAGATTAATTACCTAAGATTTCTACATAAGTTGGAAGGAATTTATCTTACCGATAAATGCAACGTATTCTATCCGGAGAAGAATAAATTCTGTAGACACGTGTTTCATCATTTTTATTGGCCTAATTTAAAGTATTTTGCCATCTTTATAAGTCGAGAAATTACAAGGCAAAGCATTAGAAGTTTTCTTATTAGACATCCCAAGTTGGTTTTTTTCAAAGTTCATGAATATCTTGCAGGAGAGAGAATTGATTTTTCAGATCTTTCTCCAGTAGTTTTCCCAAGATTTGCAAAAGTAAGTTCTAGGCAAAAATTAAAATATTAAATTTCTAATATATTCTATTTTAGAGGTTCAATTCAAATTGCTTGAACGAAGAACTGGAAATTTTACAAAGCCCTCAAGCTTGTGCCGATGATTTCAACGGCTTGTTAAGTTGTCTCTATAATCAATTAAATCATGAAAATGATGGTGTGAGGAGTTCTTTTATGGAAACATTAAAATTGGATTTACTCCTTAAGGTAAGAAAGTTTACTGATAGAAAAGAAAATAACTGATCATTCATCCTTTTAGATCATAGGCTTGAAAATTGAAAGTTGTCAAGTTAGGACCGCATTTTCGGTGTCTAGTACTGTTGATTTACAACCTCTAGAGATGATGTTCTCGCTTCTAAGCTGGATTAAGTACTCCCCAAAGGAGCAATTAGAGTGGATACAGACTTGTAATTCGATATTTGACATTTTGCCATTAATAGGTAATTGACCGATAACCATATAGCGTAAAAGTGAATCTATACAACTTGATTGCATTCTTTTCAGATTTTTCAAACGACAATCAGTGTAAGATATTGTTTTATTTGGATAAAATCATTGATAAATGTTATCATCTTTTAAATTTGGTACTTATGAAAAAAAATATCCATCTCTCCTTATCTAATTTAAATTATTATGTTAAAAGGTTATTGATAAAGTTGAACTAGGAATGGCGTTACTACGTTTGTCAAGTAAAATTGAAAGATCGAATCTAGAACCATTTCTTACTTTGAAAAGAATGAATTCAAGCTCAGTCTTTAAATTTGTAAGTATTAATTAAAGTATTTATACAAGTCTTTTAATTCTTATCTTTCAAATATAGATAAGTCCAGACGAAATATTTCAGATAATTAACATTCTTAAGAAACTAATCAAAAAGTTTCCAAGAGGAGAAGATTCTTTCCAATTTTCCAGGTCTTATCCCTATTCTAAGGGTTTATTTGAAATTTGTTCATCTATACTATCGCAGAACGTCGATCACGAGATTGAACAGATTCGAGTAGAGATTAACGAAGTGAATATTTATTGTAGTTCTTTGAATGTGTAGACATTAATTCTCTATCGTCTTAATTAAAAGCTAAATATTAGAGTATATTATTATTAATACGTCTAGTTTCTTATTATAATCTTAACATTGAAATTGCCTTATGCTCATAACTGTTGTGATAATAGAATAAATTGATTTAATATATATATATATATATTAACATAACCTTCTTCTTCTTCTAATTGTTTACTATTTACAACTTAAAAACGTAAATATGTTCAATCTATTCAAGCAAATTACAGCCGTAAAGGCTAAAGGTATGGCCGTTTTTACATTCGTATCCGCCGGATCTCTCTATAGATTTTATCATATCTTTGAATAATTTATTCATTATATATACTTGAAATAATATCGAAAAATTTCTTATACTAATAGAAATTTATTGTTTTATATTCAAGAGTTTATCTACTTTTATACATGGATGAATTTGGAAATATATTCTTGGCGCTAGATGGCACTCTCTTGAATAATAAATTAGAGTTTTTTTGTTTATTTATATGTCATATTTGTATTATCATAATAAGCTTAAATTTTGGTGTGTTAGCTACATTTTTGCAGATCTTTTAATATGATAAATCTTAAGAGATTAACTCTTCTTGCAATATGGAAAGACACCGAAGAAGTATTTGAACATTATATTAGGAGAAGAGGAAGAATTCCTTATCAAATATCTCAGATGGTTTTTAATTATTTCGCTGAGAAATCCTGCGTATCTAACGATTCTGTATGTAAGCTTTTTAATAAGAATATAACCGAGTTATCCAACATAAAGATTGATGGACGCCGTATGTCAAATTTGAAATGTAAACAATTTTTAGAAGGTCATCATAATTTGGAAAAGTTGGAATTGCGCTGTTTGAATAGATTTAGATTTGAAGATATATTAATAAGCGTAAAGAATGCGAATCTTAATGAATTAACCATATCGGAATGCGATGAAATCTATCAATTCTGTACTAACAACGAATTCTATTATAATATTGAAAAGTTATTAATTAATTATAGTAATTTGATTAAATTGAATCTAAGCTCTTCGTACATAGATTATAAAGTGTTGGAGCTTATTGCTCCAAATTTAAATCATCTGGTAGAATTAGATATTTCTCAAACATTCGTCATGTTTCTATGGCCTTTGAGATCTTTGCGAAAATTGGAAATACTTAAATACAATCTAAAAGATGAAAGGTTTTGTTATAATGAAATCTATCATTTGACAAAGATTCCTTCGCTAAAAGAAATCTCTCTATACGATAATAAAGTTTGTCTATTAGATTTTAGAAAAGGTTTTCTAAAGGATCTTTTTCGCGGTGTTTATTGGAAGAATTTGGAATATTTTAGCATTAGAGGATTCTGGGATATGGATAGAGAAACTATCAAGTAAAAACCTATGATGATTAAATAATATATAGATTCATGAACTAATCATAAAACAATGATTTTTCTTAATAGTAAGATTCTATCGAATCATCCAAAGCTTAAAGTCTTTAAGATAATGTTGTACAAGTTTCCTTTAAGTAATGTTTTCAATACTGGAGGACCGCAAATTGACTTTTCCGATATTTCACCAAAAATATATCCAAGATGTTTAAAGGTAAGTAAAAAACGATTAATGGATGGATAATCTTATATTGGAATACTTTAATCAAAAGGATATAAACAACGTCGATATTGTATACGAAATGAAATTATTACAACATTCAAAATTAACAATTGACGACCTATCTTGGTTTTATTTCTTTCTTACGAAAAGAATGGAAGGTTCGACAAAACAACAACTAGTTACTTTCTTTAGTTTTGTCGATATGGACAATTTAATTGTGGTAATAGGCTGATTTTTAGTATAATTATCATATTTAATTATATATTTTTACTATTCATTCAAAGATTCTTGAACGAACAACCGATACTATTGACTATCTATTTTCTCAAAGATCGTCTGATCACTACGTACTATTTGTCTACTTATCCGATATAGCAACGGTCTTTGATTGGATTGAAATCTCCTTAGATGGTCATAATATAGAATATAAAATGAAAATAACTGACTTAGTTTGCACTATTATTTATAAATTTGGTTTGATTTTATTCTTTAAAACAGAAAGATAAGAAAGCGATTAAGTAAACTCTAATTAAATATTTAATTATCTATTTTAGATCATATCTTTCAACATACTGATAACGCTGATCGATTGGAAAGATTTTACAGGATTATTTCAAGAAACTACGACCTATTACATATGGTTATATCATATCTATTTACGTATTAAATATCATCTATAGCTGTCATTACTCTTCATCCTTACAAACAGATTACTAATAAAACTAAATTGGGTAGAATATTACTTTGCGGATTAACAATGAATATTCAAGTGAATAGAGAAATTATTCATATTTTATCTAAAATGTACGATGAAAGAATTTTCGACGAGGTCATAACCTTTACCCTATTAAGAATAACATTCAATAAATACCCTCTTTTCTTTATTTCGTTTAGCTTGACGATAAAGAGTTTAAGAACACTTTAGAATGCCTTAAAAAATTCTCATCTTTACATTTGAAATATGGTAACGACATGTTCTCCAGAGTTTATACGCAATTTTCACCATCGTTTCTATTGTTATGGTTATCAATTTTAAAAGTTAACCTTAAAGGAAAATCTGTAGATGCTCATGTCGATATTTCGAATTTGGAGAAATATTTCATGTCAAGTCTACGAACGTATTGATTATACATCTTTTTGCTGTTATTACTGCAATAATAACTTATTATAATTGCTGTTGTTTTATAGGCTTAAGCACACAGTCATTTTTTTTGTTGTCCTAATAGAGACGATTCACAGTAAAAATACAAAAAAAATAAATTGAACTTGACCCCGACGTGATTTGAACACGCAACCTTCTGATCTGGAGTCAGACGCGCTACCGTTGCGCCACGGAGTCGTTTCTTAAAACAACACGTGTATTTCCAGGCAGTGAACTGGGCAAGAGTAGAAGATAAGAGAAACACTCGAATCGTTCAAAATAAAATTGAATACTACTCAAAAGCTTTTGAGCGATATTATATAGCACTCAATAGAATAACACTACTTGTTTCCTATTGAATATAAATAAGTAAGAAGCTTATCTATCGCAGGATGTACTATTAATCTTATTGCTCATATAGTTTGATTTAGTTGATAAGATTAAATAGGATATTTGTAAACAAAGGATTTTAATAATAATAAAAAAAGAAAACAAAAGATTGAACTTGACCCCGACGTGATTTGAACACGCAACCTTCTGATCTGGAGTCAGACGCGCTACCGTTGCGCCACGGAGTCTCTTCATGACAAATTTATCCTTTTGTTAGTTTCTTTACCTAATTAAAAGAACTATAAAACAATTAATAATCGAATAATCAATGTTTTCATTTTTCAAATATCATCTCTGAATTATTTTCTTTAGGTTTTTATTCAAGTTTTATATTAAACGGTATGTAATTGTAAATATTGAACAGATGGTAAATATCTAACCATTCTGATTGAACAATCTAAGTGATTTAACTTCTCTTCCGATTTCTATTCAAAAATTTTACTTAATCTTGATAAAAATAAAAGTTGAACATATTATATATGGTTTGTTATCTTTTCTTCCTAACCTATTTTAAGCTACAATACAAATTCAAGAATTCAAGACACACGCACACACTAGCTCTCTCTCTCTCTCTCTCTTTCTGAAAATCTGCTAATTACTTATCCATCAAATAATACTTATCAATCTCTATCAGTTATTGTTCTTATCCTTCCTTCTAGATAACGCTAATTTTCAATCTACATGATGAAGCTACGTTAAAGCTAGTGACGACACAAGTTAGTCAGATGCTATCGACTATCGATTGTTATGTGTTTGTAGAAGATGTATTCTATATTTAGAAATTTATAGTGTAAATTCACAAAGAAAGTTCTCCGCCTAAAGGATAAGGAAAATTCGGTTCTGATGATAAGACATTGCGAAAAATTTAGAGAAACAAATTCTTTTGATTAAAAGCTGATCTATTTACAATTAAAAATGTATTTTATATAATTTTATTTGCCGTTATCTTCTTTGTTTCTTCTTTCTCTTCCAAAGAAACAGCAAAAAGAAGACTTTTGTTCATAACGTTCAATTCTTATATTCGTCTGTTTAAAAACAATCTTTAATTGTCTTAAGTAGTTTATCCATGTTTTCAAAATATATTTTCAAGTCATGATTCTCTTTGAAAGGTATTATTCCAATTGATAAGAACATTGGAAAGAGAAAATCTTGTTTTATCTCCAAACTATCAAGGCTTAACCATTTCTTATAAAACTTCTTAAAGCAAACATTATATTTGAGGAATACTTGAGGTCTTCTTTGAAAACGAAATATTGGATTGAAATTATTGAATATTCCTCTTACCGTATTAGTTAAATTTAATTCGTCAACCTGAACAAGAAAAGAATGTATTGTTACAAGATAAATGAAAGAAGAGGGATGAATAGACTTACCGCAGTTAATGAAGCATTTTTCTTAAGTGAATTTAAGTGTTCTATATGAATATCATCGTAAGGATGTACTTGGGTAATAAGTAAATGTGTTATAATTATTTCGTGTTCATTACCAATCTATTAATAGATATATATATATATATATATATATGCTGTATAAATATATTTGTTTAGTTTTTAAAAAGAATATTAATACCCTTCTAAGGAAGTGTTGATATTTGACAAACATTTCAATAACTTGTCTATAAGGGCTTAAAATTGTTAAGCTGAAAATATAAGGGAATAAATTACATTATTAATATAGAAATATGGAAATATTTTTAAGAAAATACCGAAAATATAATTTAAAAAGTATTTCTATTATATTTATCCAAAGATGTTCCTGTTCCGGTAAATATTCCAACCAGAGAAGAACATAAAGTGTATATTCAAGATTATCGCAATCCGAATCCGAATAGGTAAGATCTTGAAAGAAATCAGCAATACAAAGAATATTTCTAAATGCAATCTACAAAAAAAAGTATAAAATTGTTTTTTTAAAGAAACAAACTAATAGAAATTAATATTACTTGTAATAAATCGTTTTTATTGAATATTTTCAAAAATGATATTGTATAGGAGATATCTTTCGTATATAGATAATAATTAAGAAATTCAAAAAATATTTCTGAATCATTTCCATCAATTTCCGGATTTTTCAATAATTCAAATTCCTCTTGAATTTTCATTTCGATAATCTCTTGGTTAAAGTATAAATTTTTCGATTGAAAATTTACGGATATATTCCTTGGAAATATAATTGTAGAGATGTTTGAATAGTTTCTTAGATTTGTATCGTAATTCATTCCCAATTTGAAATACTTTAATTTTGGATGATTATTCATAAATTTCCTTGGTAATTGAAAGGAAATGAATGATAGAGAGACGGATGGATAGATAGATAGATAGATAGATAGAGAGAGAGAGAGAGAGAGAGAGAGAGGCATAAGAGAAAGAGGGAGAGAGACAGAGAGAGAAAGAGAATTAAATAAAAAGACAAAAAAAAGAAAATTTTATTAAAAAACCTTATTGAAACTTTTGACAGATTATTTAATTTATTCGTATTGAAATAATATAAATTTCTCCAATTGCATCCATTTAACGAAAATTCATCTATTTTAAAATTATTATAATAAAAACCAATACTAATCTTTTTTAAATTCATTAATTGTTTAATAATTTGAAATGCTATTGATATTCTTCTACCGTTATGTCTCCATAACTTAATACTTTCCAGTTTTTCCAGTTTCTTTAAACAATCAAATGATTTTATTCTTGTAAATGAAATATCTAAATCTTTTAATAATGATAATTCGTTACAAGCGAAATTTAGGCATTCATCATCGAAATTTGTATATGAAACGTTCAATTTAATTAAAACTTTAGTGTTTACAAGTAGAGAAAACCAGTTTAATTGAGATTTTAATTTACTAGTTTTACAATAGTTGATTGTTAATTCTTGTAAATTAATTAATTTTAAGTAATCAATCCATTCCGTAATATCAAATTTATTCAATTTATATACCTTTAATGATTTCAACGGTTGATTGACCAAAAATAATAAATTACTTGATTTTTCAATTCGTTCTCCGAATATTGAAACTTTAGTTAATTCCGTAAATGGTCGATTGAAGAATTGATAGTCTTCTCTCCAAATTCCATCATAAAAATCATTTAAAAATTCATAAATTATATTCGATAGATAAAAAGGAAGATATATAGATTTTGATGTTTTCTGGCTAACTAATTTTAGGTTTCTTTTGATAAAATATAAGATGATTTTCTGTAAACTAAACATAGTTTTTCGTTACCTTTTTCCTTTTTATTTTTAGTATTAAATCTATTTGTTTTTCTTTTTTTGGCAAATGCTCATACGGTGTTTTTTATTCTTTTCGTACCTGTAATCAACTCTTAGAAATCGTTTATTATGTATTGTTAATTTACCGTTTGTACATAACCTATTTTTAGTATATTATATGATTTGAACTTTCGTTATAATACAACAGGTAAGAAAAGGTTACTGATAATGGCTGCTACTGAATGATGAAGAACCTATATATATATATATGTATATATATATATATATATATATATGTAATACAGTATATATTACTTTGTATAGGATGAATGCGGTTAACCTAGTTAGATTAGTAACTAATCAAGCTTTATACAACAGAAATTAACTAATCTAAAAAAAGAGAAAACTATCCTTTTTACTATTAAATTCATTGATAAAATTTCTATTAAAAAAACATATTAAAACGAGTGTAAAAATGGAAAATATGACACTTTTTAGATATATTATATAATTTACGTGTTTGAATAATGTATAAAGTTTGTCTGTTATTGCTTCTGCTATTCGAAGAAGTGTCAAACTGTCCATATATAAAAAAAATACAGTATACAATATATAAGAGGCAAATGCCTTTGTACAAATTCTTCTCCTTTGCAGACTATTACGTGTTCGAGACGTTAGATTATTAGTACAAAGTCTTTTTTCAATATAAAGTTTTATATTAAAACTATCCTGCTAAGTGGTTACGTAATATAACATCATTTATCAATATAGATCAGATCAATACTATACAATGACTCATTTTTAACTATGGCCGACAATAACAATTGACAATAACAAAGAGACTATGCTTTCTTTGCAAGAAATAATACTTTTTTACATTAAGGATAATCCTAAATTAACTCTGAAGGAAAGGAAAATTCCATTCTATCTTGCAGAAAAGATTTTTAGGTTTTTGGATACGAAAAGTTATGGAATTAGCGAAGAAGATATTCAATTGTTCAATACTGATAATATTTATATGGAGAATGTCAAGTTCAACGGTACGCGTATTGGAAAATGTTCGTGTTTTTCCTTTATGAAAAATTGGAATATAAAAACTTTATACGTGAATCATATTCAAAAATTTGGATTATCCGATTGGATTAAGTATTTAAGGGAATCTGATTTAAGAGAATTAACTTTGATAAAATGTAGTTTAACCATTAAAAGAAGACTATTAGAAGACAAGCCGACTAAAGCAATAAAATTAATATCTAGATTTAAAAACTTGACAAAATTACACGTTATCTCTACAAACTTTAATGATAATTGCCTAAAGATTGTCTGTAATAAGTTTACGTTATTAGAAGATTTAAATATTTCAAAGACTATTGTAAAAACGTTAAAACACGTTCCAAAGCTCACTAAACTCTCTTTAATAGAGTTTTCTTCACTAAAGAACGGTATTAACTATAACGAAGTTAACCATTTGAAAAAGATACCTCAATTAATAAAAATTGAATTTTCAAACAACATTTCTTGGAAAT